CTCCTCCCGCCTCCCCCCCCACCACTCCCGCCCGCAGCTCACTCTCCACGGTGAGTTTGGCCTGCGTCTTGTCGTCGGGGGTCTCGCAGCCAAAGAAGCCACGGTCGGCAAAACCTACGTTGTGCAGAACCAGGCGGTGGCGGGCGCCCTCGGCGTGGATCTCCACGTTCTTTCCCGGCACCAGGGCCACGGCGTTCCGCGTCCACCTCAGCTCGGGCCAGGGCCGCGTCAGCTCCACCTCCAGGGTCACTGAGCTCCGCTCCTCCACCGTCTGCGGCTCCAGCTTCTTCCTGAACAGCACGGGTGCCTCTGGAGTCGCGGGAGAAGGGAGGTCATGGCGGCCCTGGCCCTCGTCCACGGGCAAGCCAAGATACGGAGGGCCTGTCCCGAGCCGGGCTCAGGCTGAGCTGCCCACCCCACCTAGGTCCCTCTCCAAGCTGGGCGCGGCCCTGGCCACACTGGGGAGCAGACCAGGTGAGGAAACAGAGAAGCTTCCCTAAGCCCTGCTCCCACCTCCAGCCCCCCTGCTCCGAACAAGACGCCAGGCCAGGGGCCTCGAACTCCCAGGCATGGCCCCCACCAGGTGCGACGTGTGAGCAAAGCCCCAGGACTCCTGCGCGGGTTAAGGAAGTGCTGGTGGGCCTCTCTGCCTCAGGCCGCCCGTGAACACCACAAAGGTGAACCTGCTGTATCACTCCTTTGCCCCAGAACCTGCCATGACTCCCACTGCCCTTCAGGGCAAGTTCTGGCTGCTGGCTTCACCCACATGGGAAGCTCATGTCACTGCCTGCACTGCTGCTAACCCCACTCTCTCCCCTGCCATCCATCAGGCTAAGCATGGACCCACCTCCTCCAGAAAGCCTTCCTGGATTGCCTCCACCTCCACCGTTCCCCACCAGGTGCACCGGCAGGGTTGCATCTTCTCTACACCCAGAGGAGGCACTCGGCCCATCCCACCTATCCGAGTCTCCTCTCTGCAGCCTGCACATCCCGTGGCCCCTGGGGTCAGCCAGACCAGCCGGACTCAGGACCTCAGTGCCAGGTGCCCATGCAGGACCAGTCCATGGGGGAGGTGCCTGTTCAAGGAGCCCTAGCCAGCCAGGCAGGTCCTGCCACCCCCTCCGCTCACCTCGGACCCTCAGGGCAGCTGAGGATGAGGCACCTTCAGCCTCCGCGGTGATCTGGCCTGCGTCCTCCAGCAGCAGGCTTGAGATGGTCAGGCTGCGGCTGGCGCCACTCTGGGATATGGCAAACTTCTCGCTGGGCTGCAGCAGCGCACCGTCCCGAAACCACACGACTGCCACGTCACTGGGGGACACCACACACTGGAAGGTGGCCTCGCGGCCCTCCTCTGCGACCACGGCGCTCAGCCCGGACGTAAACTTCGCCACTCGGGGCACTGCGGACAGGATGGCTGCTTAACAGGCAGGCGCACAGGACCAGCACAGCCCCTACGCTGCAGGAGTGTCAAAGGCCGCCTCCTCCAGGAAGCCACCCTGGATAGGGACACCCGGCCCCTCACGTACCGCTGACAGTGAGCTGTGCCCTGGTGCGGTCGTCACGGCTCTCGCACACGTACTCCCCGGCGTCCTCGGCACGCAGCCCCAACACAGTGAGCGAGCGCACGGGCCCCTCGGCCGCCATCTGGAAGCGCTTGCCCGCCCGAAGCTGCGTGCTACCGCAGCGCCACACCACCTCTGCACACGCCGGGCTCAGCTCGCAGGCCAGCGTCACCGCACCGCCCAGCTCACCAGACACGGGCTCCAGCGGCCGGCAGAACCTGGCAGCCACCTCTGTGGACAGGAAGGGGACATCAGCCAGGCTCTGCACAGACCCACCTTGGCACCTGCCCAGCTCTGGGACAGAGGGGTCTGGAGGCGTCCCCGCCCCGTGCCTGGCTCACCTTCCACCTGCACGGGAAAGTCCTGCCCCTCTGTGCCCACGCGGCAACTGTAGACTGCGCTGTCCAGCACCTGGGCGCCACGCACAGTCAGGGTGTGGCTGTTCCCGTGGCTGGCTGTCTCATGCCGCTTGCTGCGGCGAATCTCCACGCCATCCTTGAGCCAAGTCACCGCAGCCACAGAGGGTGTGGCCAGCGTGGCAGTCAGCACAATGTCTTCATGCTCCTTGACCACCAGAGGCTCCCTGCGGCCGGGTCTCTCTGAAATGAGGGGCTCCGGCTCTGGGCAGAGTTGAGTTGGCATGAGAGGGGACCCTGGTATCCCTGGACCAGCCTCCCCCCCCATCAGGGCTGCCCTAATGCCACCTGGCACTCCTGATGCCCACTGCTCTTCAAGGATGGCCCAGTGCAGTCCTGAGCACCATCAGCCACCACCCAAGATCTCAGGGGCCATGCAGTGTGGCCATCAGCTCCAGGTGAGGTGGACTAGCCATCCCAAAGCACTGACCTGCCACGTGCAGGCCGAAGGAGACCCTCTGGCCCCCAGCCTCGCAGCTGTACTCCCCGGCGTCTGCCTGGCCCGCCTGCTGCACCACCAGCCTCCGCGTGCAGCCTGCGGCCTCCATGCGCATTTTCGAGTTAGAGCTCAGCTTCTTCCCGTCCCTGTACCACGTCACCTCCGTCTGGGCCTGGGCCACTTCGCAGCTCAGCGTGGCGCTGGCCCCCGCCTCGGCCTGCACCTCCCTGCATGCCAGCTGCTCCTTGGCAAACACCGCTTTGGGCTCTGGGGATGGACACGGAAGGACACACGAGGTCAAAGATACGGCCCAGGTCAGGAAGGCCACCCTAGGGTAGCAGGGCCTGGACGAGGGAGTAGGAGGAACAGAACCTTCCTCGGGCTCTGCACTGCTGTGTGGCCAGGACAAGCCCCGCCACCCCCAGCACAAGAATCGGTTTCTCCATCCACTGTGCACTCGCCATGGGCCACCCCAGGCGGGGCAGCTGTGACAGACCCTCCGTGCACGAGCTCCTCCAGAGCGGGGACTGGGGTGCCTGCACGCTGGCTCTTCCTCAAGCTTGTGCACAGCCACTAAATCCACTTGTCCGTTTTCAACCTCACATCCCCCAAAACCACGTCTGTTTGGCTGCTGAGACTGAACACCTTTCATTCCTCCATGCCTTCTGTCCACTTTAGACCTTGATGTCTCTCAAAAGTGTTTCATAGCTTCCCCCGTGAGCCTCTGGACACCTTTTACCAGCCCGGGATCATAAACGCGATGTCTGTGAAACTCCTGTCAGTCTTTCACGTCTTCATTTTCCAACTGCTTGCTGCTCGTCTACATGTAGAAAAGTTTCTTCACACGGATCTTGGAAGGGCTGATCTTTCTCGACTCTCTAATAATTTATCCTCTGGGTAAAGCATATCTTCTGCTGATTCACCTTTTTCTTTTGTTCCCTTGTTTTTTTGCGACAGAGTCTCACTCCATCGCCAGGCGCCAGGCTGGAGTGCAGAGGTGCAATCTCGGCTCACTGCAACCTCCGCCTCCCGGGTTCAAGCAATTCTCCTGCCTCAGCTTCCTGAGTAGCTGGGATTGCAGGCGTGGGCCACCATGCCCAGCTAATTTTTATAGTTTTAGTAGAGACGGGGTTTCACCATGTTGGCCATGACGATCTCCATCTCTTGATCTCGTGATCCGCCCGCCTCGGCCACCCAAAGTGCTGGGATTGCAGGCATGGGCCACCATGCCCAGCTAATTTTTATAGTTTTAGTAGAGACGGGGTTTCACCATGTTGGCCATGACGATCTCCATCTCTTGACCTCGTGATCCGCCCGCCTCGGCCACCCAAAGTGCTGGGATTGCAGGCGTGAGCCCGATTCACCCTTCTCATGCTGCTTTCCTCCTGACTTCGCTGCCCCGTGCTGGGTGGAAGTGCCGGCTGCTGGCTTCTCATGCTGTTCCCTGGCTCAGAGGCAAAGCTTACAGAGTCACACCCTGTGTCAAATTAAGGGGAAAACACCCTTTTGTTTATACTTTGTTAAGAATTTTATGGCATGATGGATGCTAAATTTTGCCAGATACTTCTTCTGAATATATAAGATTCAATTTCATCAAAGCGGTACTTTATTCTATGTTTAAGATCATGGCATTGTTTTTTTAATTTCAATCACATATCACGGTTATCTAATGTTTTTAACATGAAATCAGCCCTCATTCCTACACTATGAATTTTATCATCATGTACAATTGTCTGCATGTATTGCTGAATTCAGTTGACTAATATTTTGTTTAAAAAATTGGCCACAATCTCCATGATTCTTTGGCCTATGATACGCAATCTTCCTGCTTTCTGGCCAGATTTTAGTTGTGGCAGTAAGCTATCTACCTGCACATAATGTGTTAGAGGATGTATCTTCCCTTTTCTGTTCTCCAGAAGAATTTCCATGAACGTGGAAGATTTCCGGCCAGCATGTTTGGAAGAATTTCTCCGCAGGACCACTTGGTTCAGGTATTGTTTGCTAGAGAAGACTTTTTGCTACCGGTTCTGGTTTTTGCTAGGTTGTGGTAACTGCAGGTAACTTCAGTAACAGTAGGTGACTGCACATAGGTTATCTGTTCCTTGACTGGTTTTGGTTTTCTAGAAATTAGATAATTTGTTAACACTTCTGAAATTGACTTGCAGTGATTTTTTTGGTATCTGCACACATCTGTAAGCCATCACAGACACAGATAACACCAACTGTTACATGGTGGCACTCAGGGCTCGGGTTGGAGTTTGAAGCTAGGCTCTCCTAACAAACACCAGGAAGGTCGTCCTCAGACTTCCGTGAGTCAGTGGAGAGGACAGACACAGGACGCATCAGGGAAACAGGATGACATGATACGGCTTCCCCAGTCAGCGGCCACCACCGTAACTTAATCCTGCCCGCGTGTGACTGCGCCAAAGCTTCTCACTCCCAGCACTTTAAATCCATCCAAATTCCAACGGGTATTTGGACACAGAACATTCTAACGGAACACAAAAAGAAAGCAAGAATGGCTTTGGGAAATGTAACTCTAATGTCCAGCGTCTCAGGCACGGGCCTGCCAATGTGCTGTGCTTCACCCGTTTACACGCTAACGCCGTGGGTCTGCGCCCCACCCGTTTACACGCTAACGCCGTGGGTCTGCGCCCCACCCGTTTACACGCTAACGCCGTGGGTCTGCGCTCCACCCGTTTACACATGTCGTTGATTTGCACGTCACTTGTTTACTCACTAACGCCATGGATCTGCACACTAACTCCGTGGCTCTGCACTTTACTCATTTACACACTAACTCTGTGGATCTGGGTTTTAGTGAAGCTCAGACCCGGCTTCTGCAACCACAGAGAAGGACAGAAGTGTGTCCCAGAACACTGAAAACTTTGGGAGCCCAATGTTCAGTGCTGATGTAATTCCAAGTAAGACTGTGTAGCTGTAATTTCCCTACACCCTGGCTCAACAAAGTCAAATCTCTCTCCACAGGGAGAGCCCACATGTGGGGCCAGATGAGGCCATGCAGGGACCACAGGAACATCCCTGAGGGAGGGACGCCTGGCCTACCTCCATCTCATGTGTTAGATAGGACCAGAGTCCCAGTCACCTTGGGACATTGGTGATTCGGAGAAGGTGCTGGGAAATGTGACCCAGCACATCCGCACAGGAACAGCACCTAACACGGACGAGGAGGGCCCTGACCCTTCCATTCACTCCCTGCCCACCCAGCAGCCCAGTTCCGCCACAGGCAGAGGGTAGGAGGCGAGAGGATGGGAGGAGGAGGGATAGTCGGCAGCTGTTCTACTGCAGTCAGAGGAGCGTCCCCAAGGCACTGACCTGCCACGTGCAGGCGGAAGGAGACCCTCTGGCCCCCGGCCTCACAGCTGTACTCCCCGGTGTCTGCCTGGCCCGCCTGCTGCACCACCAGCCTCCGCGTGCAGCCCGCAGCCTCCACGCGCACTTTCGAGTTGGAGCTCAGCTTCTTCCCGTCCTTGTACCACGTCACCTCCGTCTGGGCCTGGGCCACCTTGCAGCTCAGCGTGGCAATGGCCCCCGCCTCGGCCTGCACCTCCCTGCGTGCCGGCTGCTCCTTGGCAAACACCGCTTTGGGCTCTGGGGATGGACACGGAAGGACACATGAGGTCAAAGATACAGCCCAGGTCAGGAAGGCCACCCTAGGGTAGCAGGGCCTGGACGAGGGAGTAGGAGGAACAGAACCTTCCTCGGGCTCTACACTGCTGTGTGGCCAGGACAAGCCCTGCCACTCCCAGCACAAGAATCGGTTTCTCCATCCACTGTGCACTCGCCATGGGCCACCCCAGGCGGGGCAGCTGTGACAGACCCTCCGTGCACGAGCTCCTCCAGGGCAGGGACTGCGGTCCTGACGCCTGTACAGCTCCCCTCACGGATATGCCGGGGTCTCCCCACAGGACTGTGCAGGGCGCGTCCTTACCGCAGGGCCTCAGAGTGCTGAGGCTTCCGTTCCTGCCACTGTCAGGAGGGTCAGCATTGGCCTCTAGGGAAGGCCCGGGCTTTGTTAAGCATGGCCTGGTGACATGCAAGGTGGGGCCCTTTCCACCATTCTGACCATGACGCCAGCTCTTCTGGGGTGCTGCCCCTCAGCCCTTCTAGGGTGTCGCTCTTCAGGCTTCTGTCCCATTTTCAATATCATTCTCTGTCTTTTCCTTATTTTTAGGAACTCTTTATGTATTTTAAATGCTAGGAAATGATAATTGTGTATTTCGCAAACATGTTACCCATGTCCTTGACTTGCCTTTTCACTCTCAAATGACGACTTGACAAAATAAAGTTTTAGTTTAAATGCAGTGAAACATACCATTGTTCCACCGTGTAGTTTTAAGAAAATGTTCCTTTCCCTGGAGTTTTCAGCAATCTCTGTTATCATCTAGGGGTTTTATGGTTTTACCTGTTATGCTGTGTGGCCTCTAGCCCCCCTGGAACTCACTTTTCAGTGTGAAATAAGTTACTAATCTAAATTTTTATAAAGTTAAAAAATCAAAGAACCATTTTGGTTTTTTAGGTCATCCTTTCTCCACTGCCTATGCAGGTGTGAAGATAAAAAAACCCACAAAACAAGAACAATAAAAAGGGGGATAAAAATAAAATAAAAAACAAGAACAATAAAAACCCCACTGATTTGATTTGGGTCTGCTCCTGCGCTCACGACTCTGTCCCTTTGTTCTGACAACCGTTCCTGTGTTGTGCCTGGCGCTCTCCATCCCTGCGGCTGACTGATTCTTGATATCTGGTAGACAGATGCTCACACGGCTCTTCAGGAGCATGTTACTCTTGTTGCCCTTCAGAATCTGCTTCTCAATCTTCAGCTCCCCAAAGAAAAACACCTGCTTGGGTTTTGACTGGGCATGAACATACCTGAGCCTTCCATGGGTTTCTATCCATTTTTTTAGGTCTTGTTACCGTCTGTCAAAAAGGTTTCACAATGACCGGGCACAGTGGCTCATACCTGTAATCCCAGCAGTTTGGGAGGCTGAGGTGGGAGGATTGCTTGAGGCCAGGAGTTTGAGACCAGCCTGGGCAACATAGCAAGACCCTGTCGCTACCCAAAAAAATTCTACAGCCAGGGTTACGGGACAGTAAGATTGTCTTAATGAAAGGAAATAAATTTGTTTGGTCTCAGTCTTCTCTATGAAGCACCCATGGAGGCTCAAACACAGTAACCATTAGGAAATTCTGTAAAATAAATACACACAACACGGAGGCTGCTATGAAGGGAACTGGCCTTCAACGATGTGTGGTGTCACCTACTCTACTCACTCCTTTCCATTTCCAAATCGAGCTACAAGAAGAACACTCACACCGAAAGTCCAACTGAGGGCAAAAGGAACACATGCTTTGCCTTGGAAACAGCATTCTAAGCCCGCAGAGGCGCTGTACACGCACGTCTCCGCCAGGGCACCACTCCTTACGAGTCACACAATCACAGCAGATCAGGGATGTCGATTTTGTGACATATGGGAAAAGGGAAGTGTCTCCCTCCTCTAAAACTATGATAAACCACATTTTAGTTTCAGGAAAATTCCAACAACAATTTGGTGACTCAAAACTCCCACTATCTTGGTTATATGAAATTGAGGCAGCTCCCCCGGAGAGAGTCCTGCGCGCCATGGGGTGAGACGTGGGAGCTACCAGACATCCAGCAGCAGCACTTTCACCTCTGTGCATGACAGATGCCTGATCCACCTCAACCCCCAGCGCCAGGGGCGGTGACTCTCCTTGGACACCAAGGAAGGTCTGCACAGGTGTGACCGAGCATTACCAAGTGTGAACACGCGCCGGGTTTGCAGGAACAGTCCTGTCCCTCCCACGCACACCCCTCCCTTGGCCCAGCCTCAAGGATGGAAATGGGAGCGGGAGGATGGGAAGGCTGAAGGAACGTGCACAGAGCTCTGCTGGGGCTGCCAGCCAGAACCACCACCACCTCCGAAGGGCTCCTGAGCACCCCAAAGCACTCACCTGCCACGTGCAGGCGGAAGGAGACCCTCTGGCCCCCGGCCTCGCAGCTGTACTCCCCGGCGTCCTCCTGGCCTGCCTGCTGCACCACCAGCCTCCGCGTGCAGCCCGCGGCCTCCACGTGCACTCTCGAGCTGGCGCTCAGCTTCTTCCCGTCCTTGTACCACATCACCTCCGTCTGGGCCTGGGCCACCTCGCAGCTCAGCGTGGCAATGGCCCCCGCCTCGGCCTGCACCTCCCTGCGTGCCGGCTGCTCCTTGGCAAACACCGCCTTGGGCTCTGGGGAAGACAGGGGTGCACAGGGTGACCTCCACCATCTAGGTTAGGAAGGCAGCACTGGAAGAGAGGCAGGAGGGACGGAACCCTCCCCAGGCTCAGGCTCTGCCCTGGTGTGTGGTCAGGAGAAGCCTCACTGCCTCCCAGCACAAGGAACAGTTTCTCCATCCATTCTGCATGTGGCCATGGGTTGTCATCCCAGGTGGGGCCGCCATGACAGACCCTCCAGGGCAGGAAGTGGGGTCCTGATGCCTGCACAGCTCCTTCATGGATGTGCCGGGTCTCCCCACGGGACTATGCAGGGCGCGTCCTCACTGCAGCGCCCCAGAGTCTGAGGCTCCCACTCCTGCCACTCTCAGAAGGATCAGCACTGGCCTCTGTGGAGCCTCCTGTGGCTTCCTGTGGCCCTGCTGGGAGCACTGTCAAGCTGGTGCCTTCTGATGGTTTGGGATGGAGTCTTTGCTCTTCTGTGGTGTCGCTGTTGAAGTGTTTTGCCCAATTTTTTTTTTTTTTAGACACAGGGTCTTGCTCTGTCGCCCATGCTGGCGTGCACTGCTGTGATCACAGCCCACTGCAGCCTCAATCCTTAGGCTCAACACATCCTCCTGCTTCGGCCTCCCGAGGAGCTGGGACTACAGGCGTGCACCACCATGCCTAGCTCTTTCGTTTTTTATTTTTTAGAGGCAGGGTCTCACTATGTTGCCCAGACTAGTCTCAAATTCCAGGGCTCAAGCAATCCTCCTGCCTTGGCCTCCCAAAGCACTTGGGTTACAGGCACACGCCACCACACTCAACCCCAGTGTTCAATAGCACTGTCTTTTACATATTCAGTTTTAGGAACTTCATATAATTAAATGCTATGGATGTTACAGACACCTTCTCCATCTCCATGCCTTGCCCTTTCACTTCTGCATGAGGGTCTTCTGACGAAGTGATCAGTTTTACTTCAGGCAAATGCGTCATTCATCCTGTGTGGCTGGTGCATTCATGTCCTGCTCAGGACCTCTCCCATTACCCAGAAGTCACTGACCAATCTATATCATCTGGTAAGAGCTGTTCTACCCACACATTGAGTTGATTTCTTGCCTAGGGAGGTAGACACTCAGTATTTTCATTTTTGCAAACAATTGTCTTAGCACCGTTTGTGAAAAGGTCACCCTTCCTCTACACCTCCCCCTTGCACCAGGGTGAAAAATAAAAAAAGGGAGGAGAAATCTGGTTCCATCAAAGAGTTTTGAGCTCAGTATTCAATTATTCTGGTCTGTTCATCTCCTCCTGCCTTTGGGCCCAGGTGTCTGAATTGCCTCCGCTTTAGAGGACAGCCTCCTGTCCGGTAGAACAAAGGCCCTCACACTGCATGCTTCAAGGGTAGCCTGGCTCTGCTTGGCCTTTACTATGCACTTGTCAGTATTTGCCCACCCAGCAGAACTGCGGTTACTGGATGTACACTTCCACGTCTTCCACAGCTTTTTACCCTCTCTCAACAATGTTTAATAATTTTTCCCCACAAACCATCTAAAGACCTTTTATTAGGCTGGCAACTACAAGACTTTGGATGGTAATGGAAATCTCTGAAAACGTGATTTTCCATCTGCTTATTTCTGGTACATAGATGTAGAAGTGTTTTCTGAACATTGATTTTTTATGTGGTAACCATTCCTAAATCTCTTACTAATAATTAGGTTTCTTTGGACTTTCTAAATTAATAACCGTATCACCTGTGAGGTGCATGTTTTACTTTCCAAGTTTCACACCTTGTACTTCCTTTTTCTCCTCTCTGTACTGTACAATGTTGGAAGAAGTGGTGATGGATGGCATCCTTGCCCTGTTTCCAACCTCAAGGGTGACACTTTCAAGGTTTCACGTTTGTGTAATGTTAGCTTATTTTCTTTACAGTATCACTTGTTAAATTAAGGAAAAATGTCTTTATTTAGAGTTTGTTAAGAATTGTATGACATGAATTGATACTAAATTTTTCCAAATATTTTTTGCATAGTTATGATGTTGTATTTTATCAAATGCTTTTAGACTCCATATTGAGGTAGTCACATCTGTTTTTCTTTCAATCTGTTAATGTCATATTTTGTACTGATTTTCTAATGTTTATCATGTTAAACCAGCCTTGCATTCCTGGACTATGACTTTTATCATTGTGTGTTATCCTCTTGATAAATTGGTGGATTCAGGGTGCCAATATTTTAGTTTAAGATATGAGCCTTGATATTGATAAGAGGTTGGCCAATTTTAATTCCTCCTATTCAGCCTGTCAGAGCTTGGTATTAATGATATTTATCTACGTAAAATGAGATAGAGGACTAACGTCCTTTTTCAATACTATAGAGGAACACCTATGAACATGGAATAATTTCTTTCCAGAATATCTGGTACTGTTTAGAGCGCTGGGTAGATATTATTCTATGAGAAGATTTGTTGCATTTCTATAAAAGGTTATAGGACTGTTAAACTTATCTATTTCTACTTTTGATAAAGTTTTTTCAAAAGTTTTTGCCAAAACTTTTCAAATTTATTTGCATAAATAATAGGGCCAGGCATGGTGGCTCATGCCTGTAATCCCACCACTTTGGGAGGCTGAGGTGGGCAGATCACCTGAGGTCAGGAGTTCGATACCAGCCTCGCTAACATAATGAAACCCCATCTCTACTAAAAATGCAAAAAAAAATAGCCAGGTGTGGTGGTGTACACCTGTAGTTCCAGCTACTCAGGAGGCTGTGGCAGGAGAATTGCTCGAACCCAGGAGGCAGAGGTTGCAGTGAGCCGAGATCACACACTGCACTCCAGCCTGGATGACAGAGTGAGACTCCATTTCAAAATAACAATAATAATGACATGTTCTCATATAACAACATTTCAAGTACCTACGAGGTGGGATTTTTGACATCTACACGCCCTGCTGATGTGACAGCAGTGTCCAGTGTCAGTACCTATGAACAAGTGTGTGACTGCACTCCATCTCCAGCTGACAAAAGCAATGCAGAGCTGGTTCTCAGGCTTCTGCATCAACCAGCCATGAATTACTAGACAACAGTATGAAACACATCCTGCTTTATCTGTCAGTGGCTGCTGAATGGTAATTCATCTTTAAAATGTGTGCTGATGTAGCCTGATCTGTTTATTCCTCTTTAGTTTTAAACACACGAAATTAAACTAAGGGAAGTTCTGTCACAGAATGTACTGACACAAAAGCAAATAAAAATAACATATGCTTTCAGAAGAGAACTTCAAACCTCACAGTGGGGCACTGCAGCGCAGATCCACCCATTTCTAGCTCTGTATTTACTCTGCAGGCAGTATAATAAAGACAAGCTGGGCACAACGGCTCAGGCCTGCAATCCCAGCACTTTGGGTGGCTGAGGCGGGAGGGTCACTTGAAGCCAGAAGTTTGAGACCAGCCTGTCCAACATGGTGAAACCCCATCTCTACTGAAAATACAAAAATCAGCCAGGTGTGGTGGCAGGTGCCTGTAAACTCAGCTACTCAGGAGGCAAAGGTTTCAGCAAGCTGAGATCATGCCACTGTACTCCAGCCTGGGTGACAAACTCTGTCTCAAAAATAAAACAAAAAAACACAGGATATCGATTTTGCCACATGCAGGTGTACAGAGACATTTTATGCCCATAAGAAATTTGAGAAGAGGGTCCCTGAACACCTAAAACTTGGATAATCCAAAGTTCGATCATGAGCTAATTCCAAGAATGGCTGTGTGGCTGAAATGTGCCCTTATCCTGGTTCAGTGGAATTCAACCATCTCCATAGGGAGAGCCCTCAGGTCCAGCTGGTGAGGCAGAGTGTACGTTACTGGACGGCCTCAGGTGAGGGGTATCTGGTCTGCTTCAGCCCCCTCAGTTCCATGGAGCCAAAGGGCTGGACGCCTAGGAGCACCTGTGGGTTCTCACCGGGGGCTGGGAATTTGTAAACAGCATTATTGCCTGGAAACACAGCTCACAGTCCATCCAGCCAACCTTGGCCCAGCCATGGGTAGGAAAATGGCAGGTAGAATTATGAGAGACTTGCAGAGATGGACTCCAGTGGAAAGAGTACTGGGGTCTATCCGCAATCTCATCCTCACCTCCACACAAGGTAACTCAGTATCCCCAAACACTGACCTGCCACGTGCAGGCGGAAGGACAGCCTCTGGCCCCCAGCCTCACAGCTGTACTCCCCGGCGTCCGCCTGGTCCGCCTGCTGCACCACCAGCCTCCGCGTGCAGCCCACAGCCTCCACGCGCACTCTCGAGCTGGAGCTCAGCTTCTTCCCGTCCTTGTACCACGTCACCTCCGTCTGGGCCTGGGCCACCTCGCAGCTCAGCGTGGCGCTGGCCCCCGCCTCGGCCTGCACCTCCCTGCGTGCCGGCTGCTCCTTGGCAAACACCGCCTTGGGCTCTGGGGAAGACAGGGGTGCACAGCGTGACCTCCACCACCTAGGTCAGGAAGGCAGCACCGGGGAAAGAAGGCCTAGAAGGGGAAGTGCGAGGGACAGATGCTCTCCAGGCTCCATACCACCACTCCCAGCACAGGAAGTTTCTCCATCCATTCTGCATGGAGGATCTGTCACACCCCCAGGGCGCCCTGCAGAATGGTGGCAGGTTCCAGTGGCCCCTGCTGCATGGGAGGCTGGTCTCGAATGCCTGAACTCAAGGGATCCTTCTGCCTCAGCCTCTCAAAGTGCTGGGATTACAGGCATGAGGCACTGAGCCAGTCCTGATGCTAAATGTTGTCAAACAGCTATTCAGAATTTGTGATGTTAAATTTTATCAAACTTTTCTTCTGCATTTATTGAGATAATCTCATTGTTTTTCTCTTTCAATCTGTTAATGTCACACATGACATTTTCTGATGTTTTGAATATTGAACCAATGTTGGATTTCTAAAGTATGCCTTTTATCATAGAGCACTTTCTTCTGACATACTGGTCATACACTTTGAAAACATATTGCTCATGCCTGCAATCCCAGCACTTTGGTAGGCTGAGGTGGGCAGATCATGAGGTCAAGAGATCGAGACCATTCTGGCCAACATGGTGAAGTCTCATTTCTACTAAAAATACAAAAATTAGCTGGGTGTGGTGTGCATGCCTGTAGTCCCACCTACTCAGGAGGCTGAGGCAGGAGAATCGCTTGAACCTGGGAGGCGGAGGTTGCAGTGAGCTGAGATCGTGCCACTGCACTCCAGCCTGGCGACAGAGCAAGACTCCACCTCAAAAAGAAAATATTTTGTTGAAGCATTGGCCTGGATATCCATAAGAATTGTCCTGTAATTTCAAATCCTTATACTGTTCTTGTCACAGTTGGTATCTGTGTTATGCTATCCACATAAAACAGGTTCAAGAGTGTAGCTTCTCATTCTATTCTCTGGAAGGATCTCCAAGAACGTGAAACAATTTGCTTTGAGAATATTCGATATAATTTATCAGTAGATCCACTGGCCCTAGACCTTTTATAAAAATATTTTTTATCACTGGTTCCACTTAATTAAAAACTATAGGATTATTGAGTTGTCTGTTTCTTCTTGTGTAACTTTTTCACAGTTTTCTCTAAGAAATTGGTAATTCTCCAAAACTTAGAAAACTTATTACCTTTAAATAATTTATCCTACTCTCTTAACACAGTATTTTAGAAAGACACACAGTGGGCTTTTTAATGATTTTATACAGATAGAATGCCAAGCTGTCATGTGCTGGCACTTGGGAGCCAATGCAGTACCACAACGTTTTTCTCTCTGATATTTAGCCTGTTTTGTTTTTGTTTTTGTTTTTGTTTTTCCAGAAATAGGGTCTCACTGTTGCCCACACTGGAGTGCGGCGGTGTGATGACCATGGCTCACTGCAGCCTGGAACTCCTGGGCTCAAGGAATCCTCCTGCCTTGTCCTCCCAAAGTGCTGGGAATACAACAGGCTGAGTCCCAATGTCCGACCCAGACTCTCTTAAATGGTGTGCTGAGACAGCTTAAGCTCTTTCTTCCTTTCCACTGCTAACTTCGTAAATCAGACTCCAAAAAGGAATTCTACCCAGAAGGTTGTAACTGGAGACAAAAGGAAGCCAGATTTGCCTCAAGAAGAGCATGTGGAATCTTCCAGTTGTGCCCAGGAGCACAGTCACCAGCGATCTTGGCTGCAATTTTTTTGCACAGACACTGCAAGAAGACACTGACAGAGATTTTGCTACATATGGGTGCACAGTGAGCTTCTAAAGCTTCTAGATTCAAGAAAAAGAAGGAAAGAGGCTTCTTCGACACCAAAAACTTTGACGCCCCAAAGTTCAGCCTAGAGAGAATTCCAGCTGGGACTGCATGGCCGGAATTTCCTCTTGCATAATTCATATGAATTCAAACATCTCTCACGGGTGAGAAGCCCCATGTGGTGCTGAAGGGAGGCAGGTGGGAGCTACCAGATAGAAAGGACATCCCCACATTCCCAGGGGTGACGCCTGGTCCACCTCAGACCACAGGGCCAGGCAGCGCCAGGGGCCTGGACACCAAAGAGCATGGGGGTTTTGGGGCAGGGCTCAGTGTGGTGAGGCTGAATGGGAATGCCACTCCAGGTGCACCGCAGGCCTGGCCCTCCCCGCACCCTCCCGTCCAGCCAAGCCTGGCACAGCCATGGGCATAAAACTGGGAAGAGAGGGCATGGAGAAATGGAGAGGTGGAGTCTCATGGAAAGGGCACTGGAGAGCGTGGGATCGTCCACCAGTCTCATCACACCTCTACACAAGGTCACTCAGCGTCCCCAAGGCACTGACCTGCCACGTGCAGGCGGAAGGAGACCCTCTGGCCCCCGGCCTCACAGCTGTACTCCCCGGCGTCTGCCTGGCCCGCCTGCTGCACCACAAGCCTCCGCGTGCAGCCCGCGGCCTCTATGCGCACTTTCGAGCTGGCGCTCAGCTTCTTCCCGTCCTTGTACCACGTCACCTCCGTCTGGGCCTGGGCCACCTCGCAGCTCAGCGTAGCGCTGGCCCCCGCCTCGGCCTGCACCTCCCTGCGTGCCGGCTGCTCCTTGGCAAACACCGCCTTGGGCTCTGGGGATGGACAAGGAAGGTCACACAAGATCAAAGATATGCCCTAGGTCAAGAAGACCACCAGAGCGTAGGAGGACCTGGATGAGGAAGTAGAAACAGAACCTTCCTCAGGCTCTGCATTGCTGTGTGGCCAGGACAAGCCCTGCCACCTCCCAGCACAAGAATCAGTTTCTCCATCCACTGTGCATGGAGCCATGGGCTAGCCCAGGCGGGGCAGCTGAGACAGACCCTCTGTGCACGAGCTCCTCCAGGGCAGGGACTGCGGTCCTGATGTCTGCACAGCTCCCCTCACGGATATGCCGTAGTTCTAAAGCCAAACCAGCCTTAATTTTCCAAATTCAGGAAGAACACTTCTATAACGTTTGTTAAGAATCTTATGAAATGAGCTGATGCTGAATTTTCTCAAATGTATCTTCTAGATTTTATCAAACACTTTTATCTGCATTTATCAATTAAATCATTTTTCATTCAATCTGTGAAGCTTATTATACTGATCTAATGCTTCTAAGGACAGCCTTGCATTCTGGGACCAGGATCTTCAACAGCGTGCATTATCTTCTTGATATATTGCTGAATTCCATTTGCTAATGCTTTGTTTGTAATTGTGTTCTTGATACCTATAATGACAAACCCATACAGATTGGTCTACAATCTAATTCTTCCTACTTCCTTTGTCAGATTTTGGTAGTAATGTTACCCTACCTATATAAAATGACAGTCTGGGCATGGCGGCTCACACCTGTAATCCCAGCACTGTGGGAGGCTGAGGCAGGTGGATAGCGTGAGCCCAGAAGTTTGAGACTAGTCTAGGCAAAATGGCAAAACTCCACCTCTCCTGAAAAAAAATGCAAAAAATAGCTGGCGCATGTGCTACTTTTTGGCGGTGGTGCATGCCTGTAATCCCAGCTACTCAGGAGGTTGCGGTGGGAGAATCACTTGAACCCAGGAGGCAGTGGCAGCAGAGAGCTGAGATCATGCCACTGCAATCCAGCCTGGGCAACAGAGTGAGTGAGGACCTGTCTCAAAATATATATATATACATCCATAAAATGCCATACAGAGTCAATCTCCTTTTTCTGTTCCCTAGAACAATATCCATGAATATGGAATAACTGCTTTCCAGAATATTTGAAACAGTTTACTAGAAAATTATTGGGTTTTAAAGATTCTTTTTTAATAATGCCTCCATCTATTTAAAACTTACAGGACCTCTTATGTGAGTTTTCATGTAATCTACTAGGAATGAGCCGAATTGTCACAACTTTTTAAATTTATTACTTAAAATATTTTGTCATATTCTCCAAAAATAACTTAACAAAAATATATGGTGAGATTTCTGCTATCTACACACATCCACATAACACTGATGCTGATATAATACCAAACTTATGTGTTGGCACCCAGGTGTCACTACTTCAGCCCACCCCTATTGGGCATCAATACTCTCTAAAAAAAAAAAAAAAAAAAAAAAAACAAAAAAAAAAAAAAACAAAAAAAAAAAAAAAAAAAAAAAAAAAAAAAAAAACCAGAAAATTAATTGTATTTCTCAGGCTTCCCTATGTACCAGCCAAGGGAGCACACACATACAGTAGCAAACACACTTGACTTACTGGTAAGACATTTGCATTCAAGATGATGGGAAATAAATCTGACCACAATTCAGGGACCTGCTACCTCAGTAAAATTTCTAGGAATCCAGTGGTGTGAGGCCTGTCGAGATATTCCTTCTAAGGTAAAGGATAAGGTGCTGCATTTGGCCCCTCCTACAACCAGAAAGAGGCGTAAGGCCTATTTGGATTTTGGAGGCAACACATTCCTTGTTTGGGTGTGTTACTCTGGACCATTTATGAAATGACCCAAAAACCTGCCAGTTTTGAGTGGGGTCCAGAACAGAAGAAGGCTCTGCACCAGGTCCGGGCTCCTGTGTGAGCTGCCCTGCCACTTGGGCCCCATGACCCAGCAGATCCAATGGTGCCTGACGTGTCAGTGGCAGACAGGGATGCTGCCTGGAGCCTTTGGCAGCACCCAGAGGTGAATCCCAGCGGAGGCCTCTAGGCTTTTGGAGCAAGGCCCTGCCACCTTCTGCAGATAACTACTCTCCTTTTGAGGGACAGCTCTTGGCCTGTTACTGGGCTTTGGTGGAAACTGAACATTTGACTATGGGTCATCAAGTCACCATGTAACCTGAACTGCCTATCAGGAACTGGGTGTTTTCTGACCCGTCTACCCATAAAGTTGGGCATGCGCAGCAGCATTTCATCATCAAATGGAAGTGGCATATCTGTGATCAGGCTCAAGCAGATCCTGAAGGCACAAGTAAGTTACAGGAGGAAGTGGCTCAAATGCCCATGGTCCCCACTCCTGCCACCCTGCCTTCTCTCCCCCGGCCTGCACCAATGGCCTCATGGGGAGTTCCCTATGGTCAGTTGACAGAGGGAGAGAAGACTGAGGCCTGGTTCACAGATGGTTCTGCACGACATGCAAGCACCACCCAAAAGTGGACAGCTGCAGCACTAGAGCCTTATGAAGGGCATACATCCCTGAGGACAGCAGTGAAGGGAAAGCTTCCCAGTAGGCAAAACTTCAAGCAGCGCACCTCACTGTGCACTTTGCTTGGAAGAAGAAACGGCCAGATGCGTGATTATACACTGATTCATGGGCTGTAGCCAACGGTCTGGCTGGATGGCCAGGAACCTGGAAGAAGCATGATTGGAAAATTGGGGAAGAGGTATGTGGATGGACCTCTCCGAGTGATCTGTGCATCTCACGTGAATGCTCACCAAAGGCTGACCTCAGCAGAGGAGGATTTTAATAATCTGGTGGACAGGATGACTCGTTCTACGGACGGCACTCAGCCTCCTTCCCCAGCCACCCTGGTCACCACGCAGTGGGCCCAGGAACAAAGTGGCCATGGTGGCAGGTTTGGAGGTTACGCATGGGCCCAGCAACTCGGACTTCCCTCACCAAGGCTGCCCTAACTACAGCCACTGCTGAGTGCCCAATCTGCCAGCTGCAGAGACCAACACTGAGCCCTGGATACGCCGCCACTCCTCAGGGTGATCAGCCATCTACTTGATGACACGTTGATTATACTGGAGCTATTCCATCATAGAAAGGGCAACGGTTTGTCCTCACCAGAACAGACACTCTGGATATGGGTTTGCCTATCCTGCACACAACACTTCAGCCAAGACTACCATCCATGGACTCACAGAATGCCTTATCCACCGTCATGGTATTCCACACAGCATTGCCTCTGACCAAGGCATTCTGTGGCTAAAGAAGTGTGGCAGTGGCTGATGCTCACGGAACGCCCTGGTCTTACCATGGTCCTGTCATCCTGAGGCAGGTGGATTGACAGAACAGTGGAATGGCCTTTTGAAGTCACAACTGAACGCCAACTAGGTGACACTACTTTGCAAGGCTGGGGCAAAGTCCTCCAGAGGCTGTGTATGTGCTGAATCTGTGTCCAATATAGGATACTGTTTCTCCCACAGCCAGATTCACAAGTCTAGGAACCAAGGGGTAGAAGTGGCACCCCTCACCAACACGCCTAGTGACCCACTAGCAAAGTTTTTGCTTCCTGTTCCCATGACACTATGTTCTGCTGGCCTAGAGGTCTTAACTCCAGAGGGAGGAACACTGCAACCAGAAGAAATGACAATGATCCCATTAAACTGGAAGTCAAGATTGCCACCTGAACACTTTGGGCTCCTCCTACCCTTAGGTCAACAGGCTTGTTGGCTGGGGTGACTGTCCCGGACTATCAAGATGAAATCAGTCTACTACTCCACAATGGAGGTAAGGAGGTGTATGCAGGGAACACAGGAGATCCTTGGGGCGTCTCTTAGTATGACCATGCCCGGTGATGATGGCCAACGGGAAACTATAGCAGCCCAATCCAGGCAGGACTGCAATGGCCCAGACCCTTCAGGAATGAAGATGTGGGTCACTCCACCGGGAAAAAAGCTGTGACCTGCTGAGGTGCTTGCTGAAGGCAAAAGGAATACAGAATGGGCAGAAGAACACAGTCATCAAACCTGCTACGACCACGTGACCAGCTGCAGAACCGAGGACTGTAATTGTCGCTGAGCATTTCCTTTTATTAAAAACATGCTTGTGCGTGTATACACTTGTGCTAAAAAAAACTTCATTTTACTTCCTTTATCATATGCTGTGACATTTATTGAGTTAATATCAGCATTTAAGTGTTAACTCTATATAACAGCATTTGGGTTGGGGATTGGTGCATTTCTGCTTGTACTAAGGATAGCTGTATTATGTTAGGTGTAATTATGACCTTATGACCGTCTTTATTTGAAGAGTATGTATGATCTCAGGAGTTGTGTATGAGTTCAAGTTGACAAGGGGTGGACTTATGATAGGTAATACTGAGTGTCAACCTGATTGGATTGGAGGATGCAAAGTATTGTTCCTGGGTGTGTCTGTGAGGGTGCTGCCAAAGGAGATGAACATTTGAGTCAGTGGACTGGGAGAGGCAGACCCACCCTCAGTCTGATTGGGCACCTTCTAATCTGCTGCCAGCACAGCCAGGATAAAATCAGGCAGAGGAACGTGAAAGGACTGGACTGGCTGACTCTTCCAGCCTCCATCTTTCTCCCACGCAGGACGCTTCCAGCCTTGAACATCGGACTCCAAGTTCTTCAGCTTTTAGACTCTTGGACCTACACCCATGGTTCGCCAGGGGCTCTCAGAACTTTAGCCACACACTGAAGGCTGCACTCTCGGCTTCCCTACTTTTGAGGTTTAGGGACTCGGACTGGCTTCCTTGCTCCTCAGCTTGCAGATGGCCTATCACGGGCATCGCCCTGTGATCGTGTGAGCCAACACTCCTTGATAACCTCCCTTTCATAGTCACAGGTACCCTATCAGTCCTGCTCCTCTAGAGAAGCCTGACTAATACACACACTGACCAACAGGACAAAGCTAGGAAAGAATACTGCTTTACTGGTTAGTGGCTTGGGCTTGTTAACAAAGCCTGTTGATGTGGTAGGAGCTGCCTGCACCCTGCCATCCCTAAATTTATAAACACATCTCCAAAGGGACTCTGACAATGAGCAACAGCCAAACTGAAGAAAAGGCAAAACATTATTTGCTTTAAAACAAACTCCTAAGGAACACAGGCAAGTATCTCCCAATCCTCCGATCCCTTTTCCCTTTAAAAAGACATTACACTGAAATACGCACATATATTTGTCTACATAAAGGTAACAAAGAGCTTCTACATCTATGAAAAGGAAGGGTGTCCCAGAAACCTGAAATCAAATTATTCAAACTTCACTCTTGAGATAAATCTAAGTAGTATGATGGCGTAGCCAAAATCTCCCCTAATCCAGGTTCAATAAAATTAAAATACGTCTCGCTGACCAGAACTAGTATGTGCTGCAGGGTGAGGGCAACGGTAGCTGCCAGAACATATACTGACAAGACATTCACAGAGCCTCAGGAGAGACGCCTGGTCAACCTCAAAACCCAAGACCAGGAAGATTCAGAGTCCTAAATGCCAAGGGGCATCAAGAAGGCTCTGGGCAGGTGCTAGGAATGTGTGACTGTGCATTACCAAGGGCAAACACGCCGCCGGGTTTGCAGGAACAGCCCCGTCCCTCCCATGCACACCCCTCCCTTGGCCCAGCCTCAAGGATGGAAATGGGAGCGGGAGGATGGGAAGGCTGAAGGAACGTGCACAGAGCTCTGCTGGGGCTGCCAGCCAGAACCACCACCACCTCCGAAGGGCTCCTGAGCACCCCAAAGCACTCACCTGCCACGTGTAGGCGGAAGGAGACCCTCTGGCCCCCGGCCTCGCAGCTGTACTCCCCGGCGTCCGCCTGGCCCGCCTGCTGCACCATCAGCCTCCGCGTGCAGCCCGCGGCCTCCACGTGCACTCTCGAGCTGGCGCTCAGCTTCTTCCCGTCCTTGTACCACGTCACCTCTGTCTGGGCCTGGGCCACCTCGCAGCTCAGCGTGGCGCTGGCCCCCGCCTCGGCCTGCACCTCCCTGCGTGCCGGCTGCTCCTTGGCAAACACCGCCTTGGGCTCTAGGGAAGACAGGGGTGCACAGGGTAACGTCCACCATCTAGGTCAGGAAGGCAGCACTGGAAGGGAGGCGGGAGGGACGGAACCCTCCCCAGGCTCAGGCTCTGCCCTGGTGAATGAGACAGGAAGGAAGACCAGCAAGGTTCTAGGCAGATGATGGGAATGTATGATTGAGTATTGTTTTGTGGAAACACCACTCCAGGTACACAACAAGAGCCCGTTTCCCTCCACATACACCTTCCCATCTGGCCTCCCTTGACCACACCAGTTATGAAATAGAAATTGGGAGGATAGGAAACAACAGAGGTAAAGGCTAATGGAAAGAGCACCAGAGTCTATCAGCCGGTCTCATCGTCACCTCCACAGAAGGCAAAGTCAGTATTCCCGAGGCACTGACCTGAAACATCCAAGTAGAAGGAGACTCGCTGTCCCCCGGCCTCGCAGCTGTACTCCCCCGCATCTGCCTGGCCTGCCTGTTGTACCACCAGCTGCCGCCTGCAGCCCGTGGCCTCCACGTGCACTTTTGAGCTGGAGCTCAGCTTCTTCCCATCCTTGTACCACATCACCTCTGTCTGGGCCTGGGCCACCTCACAGCTCAGTGTGGCACTGGCCCCCGCCTCAGCCTGCACCTCGTTATGCACTGACTGCTCCATCGCAAACACTGCCTTGGGCTCTGAGGGTGGACAAGGAGAGATACATGGTCAGAGACACAAATCTGGGATCAATCCATTTCACAGGCACTGAAGCTTCAGGATTCAGTAATAACAAACAACTAATGAAAGACATAAACCCACAGACTCAAGATACTCTATGATACCAATCAGGATGATGACAAAGGAAACCTACATTCATCAAAGAAAAACTACCACAAAACAAAATCAAAAAGAAAATCTTAAAATCGATAGGATGAAAAAAGGTATATGACCCTTAAAATATCCGAAAGAAATTTAACAGTTCATATTTCAAAGAAAATATGGACACCAGGAGACAATGAAATAACTTCTTTAAAATATTAGGGAGTAGGGGAGTAGCTGCAAAACTGTAGTGTTATACTCAGATAAAACAGCTCTTAGAATCAAAGGGAGAACAAATATGTGTTCATAGGAGAAATAAAAAGTAAGAGAATCAGTACTTATGACCAGCTGACTTGCTAATATCAAGACTGAAGGCATAGTTTACAAGAAGAAAAAAGAATAGTAATCCCAGAATACTGGGTCCAAATTCTGACTGCAGTTTTCTGGCTTTGTGACCTGTGGTGAGTTACTTCCTTGTGTGTTATCTTAAAATGGAAATAATCCAAGTTCCTCCTAACAAATTGTTTTCAAGTTTAAGCAAGCAGAAAGACAAGAAGCACTTCACAAAATCTAGGCCTTTGACACAAAATTAATACCTCCTAGTTGTTATTACACGGGAAGCTTTATGAGTAAAAAAGGCCATTGGGTGGGACCTCCATATATACCCCAAGTTCCTAAAAATTATCCTAAAAGCACAAGAAAGACCTCAAGAAATTCACCTGTGACGTGCAGGTGGAAGGAGACCCTCTGTCCCCCGGCCTCACAGCTGTACTCCCCGGCGTCCGCCTGGCCCACCTGCTGCACCACCAGCCTCCGTGTGCAGCCTTTGACCTCCACGCGCACTTTCGAGCTGGAGCTCAGCTTCTTTCCATCCTTGTACCACGTCACCTCCGTCTGGGCCTGGGCCACCTCACAGCTCAGCGTGGCGTTGGCCCCCGCCTCGGCCTGCACCTCACTATGCACCAACTGCTCCTTGGCAAACACCGCCTTGGGCTCTGAGGGTGGAGAAGGAGGGATGCACAGTCAGAGACACAAATCAGGGACCAACCCACTTCACAGGCACTGAAGCTTCAGGATTCGGTAACAACAAACAATTAGTGAAAGACATAAACCCACAGACTCAAGATGTTCTACAATACCAACCAGGATGAAGACAAAAGAAATCTCACGTACGTACATCAAAGAAAACTAACACAAAGCAAAATCAAAAAGAAAATCTTAAAGGCAACACGATGAGAAAAGGTACATGACGCCTAAAATACCCACAACAAATTTCACAGTTCATATGGCAAAGAAAATATGGACACCAGAAGATAAAGGAATAACCTCTTTAAAATGTTAGGGAGTCAGGGAGTAGCTGCGAAACTGTAGTGTTATACTCAGATGAAACAGCTTTCAGAATCAAAGGGAGAACAAATATGTGGTCACAGGAGAAACAAGAAGTAAGAGAGTGCGTACTTATGACCAGCCGATCTGCTAACATCAAGATTGACGGCATAGTTTACAAGAAGAAAAAAAAATAGTAATCCCGGCATACTGGGTCTGGGTCCAAATCCTGACTGCAGTTTTCTGGCTTTGTGACCTGTAGTGAGTTACTTCCTTGTGTGTTATCTTAAAATGGAAATAATCCAAGTTCCTCCTAATTGTTTTCAAGTTTAAGCAAGCAGAAAGACAAGAAGCACTTCACAAAATCTAGGCCTTTGACACAAAATTAATACCTGCTAGTTGTTATTACAAAGAAAGCTTTATGAGAAAAAAATGGCCATTGAGTGGGACCTCCATATGTACCCCAAATGCCTAAAAATTATCCTAAATTGAAGACCTCAAAAAAAAAAGAAAGACCTCAAGAAACTCACCTGTGACGTGCAGGCGGAAGGAGACCCTCTGTCCCCCGGCCTCACAGCTGTACTCCCCAGCATCTGCTTTGCCCACCTGCTGCACCACCAGCCTCCGTGTGCAGCCTTTGACCTCCACGCGCGCTTTCGAGCTGGAGCTCAGCTTCTTTCC